AGGGATATCCAGGCAGACATGAAGAAAAACATGCTTGACATTCTTGTTCTTCTTCCCATTGAGTTGTGTCATTTATAAATCGGACACCGTATCTGTAGATGTCTATGGAGATTCCCAGTCATCCAGGTCATGGTTGTTCCAAAGGTGCTTTTTCAGGAGGCAACTGGACTTTCTTGCTTTCTGCCCTGGGTCCCTTCACTGTTGAAGACAGGCGCAGGCTGTTGGGGATGAGTCCGTGTTGTCTGCATCTCAAACTGAAGCCCAAATGGTCCCTGTAGTCTGCAATGTTTTCTGGAAATCTGTTCATACTCCTGCACCCTTCAAAGGGTGTTCATCCCAAAGTGCATAGCTAAAGATCTATGGAGAAAACATCCTGCAGCCAAGAAGGTTCCACACCCATTTGCACCACTCAGGTGACTCTGAGGACACAGATAAACCTCCAGGTGGCCTCAATGACCCTCTAAAAGAAGGCAAATAACCAGCTGTCTGCAAGGAATATAAATCCTTCCATTCCCCCACCATCCAGCAAGAGCTGAAGAAGCTTCTTGGATGAGAAGCAAAACATCTTCAAAGAAAAACAAAAAAGTCCAGTTGCCTCTTGAAAAATCACCTTTGGGACCATATCTGTAGATCTTTCCAAATGTTACAAATGTGTGAACTGTCTATGAAGAGAATAAATTCAGCTGAGAAAATGGAAATGCGTGGAGGACATAAAAAAGAGTCCTGAAGAAGAGATTTATATTTATATTGTGAACCTTGACCGCTAAAAAGGAACCTTGTATGGGATAATGTTTTTAAGCCTATGTGTCATGGTTCCGAAAGATGAAACTCTTCAAAGAACTTTGAGGCATTGTTTACCTTAAAGAATCTTTAATCAAGCAGCATAGCTTTGGTAGTTGAAGCCAAAATCTGACTTCCCCTCCCTTCAGCACATAGATCAAAGCACAATTCCCTCCTACAACTAACAGTTACAAATCACTTTCTCCAATTAGTTTGAAATGCTGGCTTCCCACCCAGTTTTCTCTCCCACCATTCTTTATCAGCTCTTGTTATGATATTGTATGTCTAACTAACTCCCATCGCATTCCTCCCCCTCCCCCAGATCATCTAATTCTAAGAGTACAGTATAAGAAAGAAAAAGGCTGCATCTCCATCTATTGTCAAAGCAAGAACATCCAATGTTAGCAGCATTGACACTATGCATTTTATGGTTTAATCTGAACTGATTTACTGTGTCCATTCTAGATCCCACATTTAGTGGCTTTCATTCTTAAGCAACATTCTACTTCAAGATAGAATAATATCATCATGAAATCCAGAGTTGGAAGAGGATGTTTAGGTCACTTCATTTAACCTGTTGCCTCCACATTGGTGCAGGAATCTCAACTTAGGTTTCCAAAGATATAACAAATCTCTTTAGTTCCCAAATAAATACAACTAGTCATGAGGAGGCCACCATCTTCAGTGCAGATGAATCAAGAGGAGGTGGGGGTTGGACACAACACTGAATACATAATAATGTCACAGAAGATATGACAAAATTGTGTACTACACATCATTGGACGATAACATCCCAATGCATGGAACATCATTTTTCTGTCCTTATTAAGACCAGATATATAGAATTCTACGGGTTGAAGTCCACCCATCTTAAAATTAGAAGAACACTAAAGTGCAAAATTTCTGATTGCCTAAATTATCTTGCCCTCCCCAACCTGAAGGGGATGTCAAATCTATGAGTTCTAACTATGGTTAATGATTTCAGCTCAAATTTCAGGAAAACTGAAGGGGAAAAAGGGAACATGGGAAGAAAATCGTTATTGGACATTGTCTCCAATCTGTTTCTTCCCTTTTTTACTGAACAATCAAAGACTTAATAATGTATAGAAGACTCTAATTCTGGGACTGGCCCTTGGAATTAGGTCTAAATAAAACCAGATATGAATTGTGCTGATTCTAAACCATCTATTCTGAATACAGTCTATGTATTCTTATGAGAACTGAAAGACCAATATCTCTAGAAATGGTATGTCAACGTTCTGACTGATGGACCCAACCAAGCAAACACCTTCGAGACATTCTGATCTCTTAATGTAAAACTTTATTGAGTACATCACTTCAGCACTAATGAAAGCAAAACCAGCTCTGGCAAGATCCCTCCCAAACCCATATAGTAAAAGCATTGAATTCTCCCTTTTCCCTCTGGGTTAGATCACGTTGCCCAATCAGGTGGAAAAATATTGTTATGAGAAAGTGTCTCTAGGTCTGGCCAGATACCTGGTGTAATGTCCTTGAGTCTCACGGCCTGGCTTCTTAATCTTTGAAGTCTGCATTCCAAATCTCTCCCCTAACCCCAAGTTTGTTGGCAAGCTGAGAAGCAATATTTGTCATAGCAGCAAAAATGTACTTCTGAAACTTCTATAGAAAATGGAGCACTGCAGCACTGAAATTTTTTACAAATTCTCTTTCTGCAGTTGAAGAGGAATGGGAATTGGACCAACTATAAAAGAGTTGCAGAGTTTATCCTTGTTGGGGACCTCCTATTTTGTGAGGGCACTTTAAGTATTTATTTAATAATATATTTAATAATAATAATAGTAATAATAATAATAGTAATAATAATAGTAATAATAATAGTAATAGGCACCTTGGGTGCAATCCCAAAACAATTAGAACACCACTTGAACACCATTGGCATTGACAAATTCGCCATTAGTCAATTGCAAAAGGCGGCCTTACTAGGAACTGCTTCCATCCTGCGACGATATCTGTAATACCATCAAACATCCACGTCTGCCTATCCCAGGTCCTTGGTAAGGACTCGATAGGTAGACAAAAATGCCAAATCCAGTCTGAACATCTGGCTGACTATGCTAATAATAATAATAATAATAATAATAATAATAATGATGATGATGATGATGATGATGATGATGATGATGATGATGATGATGATGATGATGATGATGATGATGATGTAGTAGTAGTAGTAGTAGTAGTAGTAGTAGTAGTAGTAGTAGTAGTAGTAGTAGTAGTAGTAGTAGTAGTAGTTGGAAGAGACCTTGGAGGTTATATAGTCCAACCCCTTGCTCAGGCAGGAAACCCTATACCATTTCGGACAAATAGTTGTCTAATCTCTTCTAAAAAACTTCCAGTGTTGGAGCATTTACAATTTCTGGAGGCAAGTTGTTCCACTGGTTAATTGTTCTAACTGTCAGGAAATTTCTTTTTAGTTCTAGGTTGCTTCTCTCCTTGATGAGTTTCCACCGGTTGCTTCTTGTCCTGCCTTCAACTGCTTTGGAGAATAACTTGACTCCCTCTTCTTTGTGGCAACTTCTGAGATAATTTAAGATTTCATTTCTGGGAGTCTTGGAACTTAGTCTAAATAAAAGCAGACATCATTCATGCTGGTACAGAATTATCTGTTCTGAGCACTATCTATGGAAATTTATGGGAATTGAGAGATAAATATCTCTAGAAAGAGTGCAGAGAAGAACAACAAAGATGATTAGGGGACTGGAGGCTAGAACATATAAAGAATGGTTGCTGGAATTGGGACTGTCTAGTTTAATGAAAAGAAGGAATAGGGGTGACATGACAGCAGTGTTCCAATATCTCAGGGGATGCCACAAAGAAGAGGGAGTCAAGCTATTCTCCAAAGCACCTGAAGGCAGGACAAGAAGCAATGGATGGAAACTAATCAAGGAGGGAAACAACCTAGAACTAAGGAGAATTTTCCTGACAGAACAATCAATCAGTGGAACAACTTGCCTTCAGAAGTTGTGAATGGAAGTTTTTAAGAAGAAATTGGACAACCATTTGTCTGAAATGGTATAGGGTTTCCTGCCTGAGCAAGGGGTTGGACTAGATGACTTCCAAGGTCACTTCCAACACTGTTATTCTGTTATTATTATTCTGTTATTATTTTAGAGATGTGATCACAAACATTTGTAGAAAATTAAGCCCTACATCAAGAAAGGTTTTATTATTTTCTCTTTTTGCCCTTGAAGTAAAATATGAATTAGGTGAACTATACAAAAATTACAGAGTTTATTTCTTTTCGGATTGCTTCAAGAGGGCCTTCTGTTCTGACATGGCACTTAAGATTTGGTCCAATGATATCAGTCTTCAGTATATTTTACCTGTAGTGCATGGATGCTCATGGGAAATTAAAGACAAATATCCTTAGAGACTATCTCCCACATCTCTTAGAGAAGATGTAAATAAACTTTCTAAGATGCTATATGTTCTTTAAATGTTAAGGAAAATATTTCTAAAAGAAGTCTATCATCTTTCCTCAACATATGTCGTAACATTTTGTATGATTCTTCAAAACACTGTCTTGGTGAATGGATAGAGAGATAGAATCAAAGGCATTTTGAAGAAGACAAAGCAGATAAAGAAGGAAGAACAAGTCAAGGTAAGGGTGGGGAGAATTTTATGGGGAAGAATTTCACTGCAGATGTAACTGTGACTTCCTAACATGTAGACACATCCATTCCCACATGCCCACACCAAGAAACATCTTGGCATTTACATTTCTCTAATTATTTATTTACTCACATCTCCAAACAATGAACGAAAAGTAAAATGTTGCAGAGAATATACTTTTAGTTTGTATTGGAATATTTCACCTCTAGACAACCATTTCCAAAAATGTCATGGTGCTTTTAAGAATCCCCAAATGAGCTCCAATTTTCGAACAATGGCACATTTCAGAAATCACAATAAGTTGTAAATGCTTTTCTTCATTTTTGGACTCGGGTGTTGTAGTATTCCATTAGAAATCATAACAGATATTTAAATGTTGATATGGAAATGCCTTATTTTGCTACCATAGCTATGTACAACTTTCACTGACATGATGAGAAAATCCAGACATAAGTTCCCTGTGTTGCAATCCCAGTAGTCAGTATATAAAAAAAATGTCTTTAGACATGAGATAAATCTTGATTCAATGAGGATGCCATGTTTTCTCTTTTTGTAACAGGAGGAGAAACATGAATTTGACCAACTGTACAAGAGTAACTGAATTCATTCTGGTTGGATTGGCAAATGTTTGGGGCATGGAAAATATGATATTTGCTTGTGTCTTTCTGCTCTACCTCCTGTGTCTGATGGGCAACAGTCTCATCATTGTGATGGTGATTTTGGACCACCATCTCCAGAAACCCATGTATTTCTTCCTTAGCAACCTGTCTTGTATTGATATTGCACACACCACAGCTTTCATTCCTAAATTGCTGGTCAACTATCTCTCTGCAAACAATTCCATCTGTTTCTACTGCTGTATCACCCAACTGTTATTTTACTTCTTCTTTGGCATTACAGAATTTTTCATCATCACTTTGATATCTTTGGACAGATTCTTAGCCATTTGCTATCCTTTGAGATACGCCATCATCATGACTTCTGGGGCTTGCTTTAAACTAGCAATGGCAGCCTGGATTGGGGCCTTTTTCTCCTTTCTGTATCAGGGAGTTTTGATTGCAAACCTACCATACTGCACTTCCAACATTATCAATCATTACTTTTGTGATTCAGGACCTGTGTTGAAGATTGCAGGAGGAGACACACGTCTCATTGAAGCCCTGTCCTTCGTAGTTACGACGGTTGTGGTTATGTCCTCCCTGTTTTTCACCCTCATTTCTTACCTCTTCATCATTTCTGCCATTGTCCGAATGTCTTCAACCAACAGACAGCAGAGGGCCTTTTCTACCTGTGCTTCCCATCTGTTTGTGGTCTGCATGTTGTACAGCTCAGTCTTTTTTGTCTATTTAAGGCCTAACCTTAAGAATTCCTCCTTCAGGGCAATCAAATCTGTTTCTTGGCTACATACTCTAATCGCTCCCATGCTAAATCCTTTCATTTACACCATTAGGAACAATGAAGTGAAAGAAGCTGTTCGTAAAGTATTAAGAAAAAAGACTCTAGCTTTCCCTAAAGTCTAAACATAAACCTGTTTGAAGGAGCAATTGTATTTTTCCAGAAGAGGAGTGGGAGGGTTATCCATCAAATATATTGTACCAATATTTTACATTCCCTCTCATAAAGGTGGAAGAAACAGGAAGTCAACATCCATAGCCAATACTGAAACTTTCTCCAGTTAACTAGCACCCATTGCTTAATTCAAGGATGAATCCCAAGAAGGGTTTACAATATAATAGAAGGACAGTTTTTGAATGTTCTTCACGCATGATGAAAAGATCTCAATTTTCTTATGAATCAGTACTGGCAGTAATATTGATCTGTTCTGTCACTTCCTTTGTTGGGAACTTGGACCTGTGGACCCATTTGTACCCTTCAGATGTCTGAGAGAAGTTTACTGAAGGGACATCATTGGAATTAGAGGAGAAATCATAGTACGATGATGCTGTCCATGGTTTGGAATACATTTTAGATACTGATCTGTTCTTAAAGGATCATAACATGTCATGAAAAGTAACTTTCTAATTCATTGTGAAGAAGTTGGAATTTCAGCTTCTTTTGACTTTGAGGATAATAGGGAAGAAGGTAAAAAAAGTTTTCGATGTTTATCTTTCATCACAAAGATATGCTTTTTAAATAAATGAGTGAGTGTTATCTTTGTGTTATCCTTGGTTGAAGAAGAAAAAGAACCTTACTTTTTAAGAGGTCTGAAGATTAAAATGTATGGTGAATGTTTGAGGGAATTAGGTATGCTTAGCCTAATGAAGAAAAGGACTAGCAGTCTTCCAACATTTGAGGGGTTGTCACAAAGGGGGGTGTCAACCTATTCTCCAAAGCACCTGAAGGCAGGGCAAGAAGCAACAGATGGAAATTAACCAAGTAGAGAACCAACCTAGCACTAAGGAGAAATTTCCTAACAGTGAAACAATTAACCAGTGGAAGAGCTTGTCTCCATAAGTTGTGGGTGCTCCATCATTGGAGGTTTTTAAAAAGAGACTGAACAGCCATTTGTCTGAAATGGTATAAAGTTTTCTGTTTGATCAAGGGGTTGGACTAGAAGACCTCCAAAGTCCCTTCCAAGTCTGTTATTCTGTATTCTGTAATTAAAAAGTGGAATGACTTGCCTCCAGAGGTTGTGGGTGCTCCATCACTGGAGGTTTAGATTTAGAAGAAGAAACTGGACAGCCATTTGCTTGAAATGGTGTAAGGTCTCCTGCTTGAGCAGGGGGTTGGACTAGAAGATCTCCAAGGTCCCTTTCAACTCTGTTATTCTGTATTCTGTAAATCCCCAACATATTGGCCTGGCCCTGACAGTCTAGATCAGGGGTGTTAAAGTGCCGGCCCGCGGGCCAGATGCGTCACGAGGTAACCGCGCCCACCCCATTGCCGGCAATGGGGAAAAAGCTCCAATACATCACACGGCGTCACATGATATCATGAGTTTGACATGTCTGGTCTAGATCCTTACGATGAATTTTAATGTCATCCTTTTAAGGTTATCCAGACAGTAAGCCAAAACCAAACCAAAACCATGAATACTAATACTATCTCTTTTTTGTAAGGTTTGTTGCTGTTGTTGTTGTTGATTGCGAAGTCGTGTCCGATCCCATGGACAACGTTCCTCCAGGACTTCCTGTCCTCTACCATCTTCTGGAGTCCATTGAAGCTCACGCCTACTGCTTCAGTGTCTCCATCCAGCCACCTCATTCTCTGTCGTCCCCTTCCTCTATTGCCCTCCATCTTTCCCAGCATCAGGCTCTTCTCCAGTGAGTCCTTCCTTCTCATTAGGTGGCCAAAGTATTTGAGTTTAAACTTCAGGATCTGGCCTTCTAAAGAGCAGCTGGGGTCGATCTCCTCTAGGACTGACCGGTTGGATCGCCTTGCAGTCCAGGGGACTTGCAGGAGTCTTCTCCAGCACTATAGTTCAAAGGCCTCCATTATTTGGCGCTCAGCCTTTCTTATGGTCCAACTTTCACATCCTTTGTAAGGTTAGAGTAAGAAAATCTTGGAAGTCTGAAAGCACTTCCTCCTCCTTTGTCTTTAATCTCCAGAGAACTAGGGAAAGTGTCTTTCCCCACTCTCATTTGTCCTTTGGACTCCAGATTTCCCCTATCAGACCAATGTCTAGGCTACAGCTTTTCCTCTAGACTCCCAAGGTTATTCTTTCAACCCATTGCATCTGTCACTTGCCAGCAATCAAGACTGAACTGAAGGAACCCACCTTCTCCCCCCTCCCCATGGATACATATTTATCCTTAAGTCCGAGGCTTCATTGCTTTTCCCTTCACTGCGGACAGTTTTATCCAGTTATTATTGTGGCCTTCTAATTCTGTGTGAACGTAGGATTAAACTGTAAGCAGACCTTGAAACAATTTTGTTTTGAATTATCAATATTTGTCTTTTTGGTTGCCTTCAATTCAGTGTTGATTCCTGGCAAGTGACAGATATAAGGAATTACTTTTGGGGACTGGAGGAAGAGCAATAACCTAGACCAGGGGTCCCCAATCTCTGATCCATGGACAGGCACCGGTCCACAGCATGTCAGCAACCGCGCAAACAAGCAAAACCCCATATGTGGGATGCAGGTAGCATGTGAAACCAGATCCCCCTTGGTCCATGGAAAAAACCTCTCTCCACAGAACTGGTCCCTGGTACCCAAAAGGTTGGGGACCGCTGTCCTGGACATTGATCTTCTTGTGCATCATCAGACACAATAGTTAATATTTTATCAATATTTTATATATAAATATATATAATTTCCTGATGCTGTACTTAAACTCATATTAGTGTTTGTATGCATAATGTGATTTATTAGTGTTGCATTTCAGTGTTTGTATGACCTCTGTTGAGGGCATATGCTAACTAAACCTAAATTGGAAGCCACCATCATTTTCTAAGAATCAGTGCTTAGAAATATGACACACCAGCGATCAAGCACACAAATTTAATCATTTTTTTTCCTTCGGTTGAAGCAAGCAGCAGTGTCTTTTACACATGGATTGTAATGTAAGGACTCTTCTTTGGTCTTCAAAGAGAACAAGGCCTACCTATGTTTGCATTCTCAATATTTATAGTTCCCTATTCAGGTTAGAATTGAAGGCAAAAGGAGAAGGGGATGGCAGGGTCTGAGATGGTTAGATAGTGTCACTGACACAATGAAAATGAATTTGGGCAAACTCCAGGAGACAGTGGAGGACATGGGGGGAGGGGGCTGGCTTGCTATGGTCCATTGGGTTGCAAAGAGTCAGACAAGACTTAGTGAACAACAAGATCTCCATGTGATATAAGGTAGATAATGCTTCTTCCAGGTTAGCAATTGAACCAAAGTCACCTCTGTACTTCCACAACGAAGGTAGTCTTAAATCTGTTTTTTTCCCTTCTTTCCATTTAATGCCTTCATTACTCCACCAGCTCTTCTACAATGATCTCAAAATAGCTACATGGATCTCAAGATTCACTTCTGGGAAATGCTGGTCATTCTGCTGTACTGAAAGCAGAATTTGGCTGATCTACAAAAAAAAAACCCTTAAAAAGAGTCAGGCTTAGTTGGTTGAGAGACCATTTGAAATCAAGGGCTGAAGAAGGCAACTGTGACAATTCCAAAATACAACCCAGAAGAAAACCACAGCAAATCCCTTTCACATAATTGGCAGGGGAACCACAAGAATGTGTCTGTGGAATCACCAGGAGAAGTAGTCAACTCAAGGGGAAATTTAGTTTTGTAATCTGCCTGCCACAACCATACCTGACTATATCACAAAGGGGTGGCTTAGTATCTTCTGATGCTGAGACTCTAGAAAGAGTGCACAAAGGTGATTAGGGGGCTAAAACATACAAAGAACGGTTGTTGGAATTGGGCATGTCTAGTTTAATGAAAAGAAGGACATGACAGCCGTTTTCCAATATCTCAGGGGTTGCCCCAAAGAAGCAACGGGTGGAAACTAAGCAAGGAGAGAAGCAACTTAGAACTAAGGAGAAACAATTAACAATTAACCAGTGGAACAATTAGAACAATTAACCAGTGGAACAACCTGCCTCCAGAAGCGGTGAATGCTCCAACACTGGAAGTTTTCAAGAAGAGATTGGACAGCCATTTGTCTGAAATGGTATAGGGTTTCCTGCCTAAGCAGGGGGTTGGACTAGATTACCTCCAAGGTCCCTTCCAATGTTGTTGTTGTTGTTGTTGTTGTTGTTGTTGTTATTATTATTATTATTATTATTATTATTATTATTATTATTGTTATTAAGCAATGGATGGAAATTAATTAAGGAGAGAAGCAACCTAGAACTAAGGAGAAATTTCCTGACAGTGAGAACAATCAATCAGTGGAACAACTTGCCTCCAGAAGTTGTAAGTGCTCCAACACTGGAAGCTTTTTAAGAAGAGATTGGACAACCATTTGTCTGAAATGGTATAGGGTTTCCTGCCTGAGCAGGGGTTTGGACTAGATGACCTCCAAGGTCCCTTCCAACTTTATCATTATTATTATTATTATTAGCTCCAAGGTCCCTTCCAGCTCTGTTATTCTGATCTGTTGTGTTCTTCTCCACTTTCTCTGCTCCATCTCCCTTTGCAACAGCTCCTCCTGTGTTGAGTCTCTGAAAGAGGTTCATGAATGGCAACAGATCCGTCCTTGAGACACTGTGTGTCTCTCAGAGCACAGAAATAGGCAGCAGCATCTGCCAGAGTGACTTCATCAATCACCAGCATGCTGGATGTCTTGTCTTGAGAAAAATACAACTTTCCCTTTGGATTGGCAATTTCATCGTCATTGTCTGGGTAGGCACCACCAAGGTACTGTGGCTTCTGCCCAGAGAACTGCTGATACCATTGGATCATTTCTGTAGTCACAGAAGAGAGATTGCAGCTAAGGTGATAAGGTTTTCTCTCCAAGGCTGTTGCTGACCCAGGTTGTTTGATCGTTTGTGCTCTTCCAAGAGAACCTACAACAAAGGTGAAAATGGATATCTGATCAACACCTGACCAACAGAGTGTATATATATTTAATGCATGTTCTTGATC